TAGATAAATATCTATGCACATTCTATTCAAAGGGAAAAAAACAAGTTACAAGACAAGGTTAAGTAAACTATAGTCCATTTGTTTGATAGATTAGGAGGAACAGTTATAAATTATCAAGTATGCAAGGTATAAAAAAGCTTATAATATATTTTTTAAAACCACAAATACATTGCTACAATATAAAAGTTGGTAAAAAACAATAGTGGTTGATAACAATACCCATGGGACATTTGTTCTATTTTTAATTATTTGCCAAAAGTTTATAGACTACCACTAAGTACTAGGCAGTGATCTAGAGAGCTGATATACAACAGGGAAGAAAACAAAGAGTCTTGCCTGCATGAAACTTACTTTCTGGCAGACAAATAAAAATATGTTTTATGTCGCAAGTAGGAAGTTTGAATGAAGGTAATAAATACAAAAAGAAGGAAAAAGATGAAGCACTTCAGCACATGGAGCATATGAACTGACAGTGCTCACATGCCAACTTCCAAAAGTATTATCCTGCCTTTCCTCAGATATTACTTGATTAACTTTTATCTCACAGTCTTTCCAGAATTAATGAGGAGTTCCAGGCAGAGGAAAGAGCTAGGCCAAGACTCAAGTGTAGGAGTGTGTCTGGTTTGTTTGAAGTAGAGTGAAGAGGTCAATGTAGTTAAGGAAGAATGAGAGAAGCACCATGAAGTAGAAGATGCCAGGAAGAAGGAGGGGCCAGTTGGCAAGGAGGGGTCAGAGATGGCAAAGCTTTTAGAAACCAAATGCCCAAACTACAACTCAAAACCCACTTATTTATTGCAAAGTGCCAATACTGCAATTAAACCTGAATGGTTGGCTGCTGGAGCAATTCTGGGGCAACTTGGCTTGCATGCCCACAGAGAGGGCTCTGTGTGCCCACTGCCACATATATGGCATAGGTTCACCACCACTGGTATAGGCCATTGTGCAGATTATGGCTGTAACTGAGTGTTAAAATGATGTATGTTCATTATTACAAGTTCAAAAAATGTCTATTCAAAGAAGTAAGTTGTCTAAAAAGAAAAGAAAGTCATGTCATGTCTTATAGGGACAAACCCTATTATCCTCTGATTTCCTCTGATTTTGAGAAGGGCTTCTACCAACTGCATAGTTGCTTTTGCTTTTGGCAGGCCATCTGAAAGCAGCACTAAAGTCACCTTTCCTAGGGGGAAAAAAAAGCACATCTCTGGGCAAAGGCAATCAGAGACTTTGTTCCTCCCCTACAATCTTTACATGCCACAGGGTCTGTGGGTATTTATGGTCTGAGTTGTCCTCCAAGAGTTTACCAGGGCCGAGGATCACTCGCAGGTGAGGCCACTCATTTACTTACCATTCTCACTCTGTAGCTTTGTCTTCTATGCTTTCAGGTCACTTCCCAACTGAGCCACCTCTTCTAGCTTTGTATTTGCTTCATTCATACGCACTTCATTCAGACTACAGAATTTCTCAGCATTCATCTGCAAGTTGAGAAAGAAAGGTTAATCATGCTGAGTTAGCTATACAATGAGGGGATGGACTTGTTATGGTGTATAGCTAGATGTCCCCGCAGACCTTCATGCACTCGTAGATCAGGGTTTGGGAGGTGACCGGATCATGAGGGCATGATACTTATCAATAGACTGGTCCACTGATGAGTTTATAGCTAAATATGATTTAGGAGGTGAAGCCTGGTTGGAGAAGGTGGGTCACTGGGGGTGTGGCCTGGGGTAATCTCCCTCCTTCTTCCCTTAATCCCTCTCTCTGCTTCCTGCTTGCCATGACATGAGCAATTCTCCTCTGCCATGCCCCTCTGCCATGCTGCCCTGCCTTGGGGCCAATGTACTTCTACAAACTGTGAGCCAGAATAAACCTTTTCTCCTTAGAGTTATGGATGTTGGGTATTTTGTCTCAGTGATCAGAATGTAATTAAGACAGGTGGCACTGGGTCCTGAATGATCTCTTCAGCAGTAAAGTCCTCAACTATTATCAGAAAAGCACTGTATAATTTAAGCAAGTACAACAAACCTAGAGTCTAGGTCCTTAAGAGCCCTACATTTCTCAGAGTATAGATGTCAGTGAAGAAATACAACTCCCGAGTCATTAGGAGCCTCTCTAGAGTTCTTTAGTTTTCTGGAGAAGGAAACATTTCAAACACTAATGGAGTTTCTGACATGATCATTTTCTGGCATTATATTTTATTTATGAGTGTTTATTTTTCTTGTAGAATACAAATTTCATTAGGGTAGAGATTCTGCTTGAGCATAGATCTCCAGTGTCTAGAAAGTGCCTACAACATTCTAGAAGATCAATACACAAGAGAGGAGGTGCATAGGGAGAGGAAAGAGGAAGGAAATCTAGAGGGGTGACCAACCAAGTAGGGGCAAGTAGGTGGATCTGCACAGCAACAGCCTAATAACAAAACTTGAGCTGTCAAAGCAACTGTACCTTTCTGATCATTGTAGTTAGAGTATCAAGATAACCTTGTTGGGCTAACACTTCTAATTTCTCACAATTGGCTTTTCAGACCTGAAGAAAAGGCTATGCCATTGGATTTTATACTTCTACCTCATATTAGTGACAAGTCAAATGACCAAATTCTTGTCACACCTTCGAAATTCATGGAAGTGATTTGGAGATTCATATTGGACCAAGAACTACCAAATTTAAGATGAAGTTTGGGGGTTCTCCTTTATCTAGGAGTTAGATGTAGTTTGAATTCTTATTTATGTGATCCAAAATATCAAAATGATTGTACCCAATAATTTTTGTGAAACTCATCTAATAATCTTTGAATGCCTTCCATCTCCCTCATGGTTGATGGTGATGATGATACTAATGATGATAATAATAGCACTAGTTAACATTTATTAGGTGCTTATTACTTAGCCAACTCTCCTCTAAACTGTTTATATGTGTTAAATCTCAATTCATATGTCAGCCCCCTTAGTCCTTTAACTCAAAAAATAGACAAGGGATTACACTAGTGGCAATTCAAGAAAATTATGAAACCTATGAAAGGGTGAAAGCTGGTAGTGAGCCCCATAGTCTCAGTGTTAATCTCATTGTTATGAAATAGCAATTGGCAAAATCCAAGAACATATGAAAGGTGATAACAGACTTAGAGCACTGAAAAATTTCTGAGTCAGCAAAATCCTTGGCCATATCTATCTAGCTGGATCAACACCATGTTGAAGATAGTTCTCTTCGAGTTCACACTAGTGAGTATGCTAAGCTTTCTAGCATCTTCCTCTTCTTTGAACTTTAAAACAGTTCTTGACACACAGTAGACTTTGCATAAATGCCTAGGTCATCTAAAGTTATTGCAGACTTTAGTGAGAAGTTGGCCAACATGCTCAGTGATGTCTACTTGAGATCACATTCATACTTTCCTAATTACTGGAGGTCTCAAGTTCATTTTTTAATCTGTTAAAGATATTAACTCCAGAAAGAGTTAAAGACATCATATTACAGTGATACATGCATACCGATGTTTATAGCAGCACAACTCACGTAATTAAATCTTGGAAGTGGCCTATATGTCCATCAACAGATGAATGCATAAAGAAATTGTAGTTTTGATATACAATGGAGTACTACTCTGCCATAAAGAAGGACAAACTTGAGTCATTTGTAGGAAAATGGATGCACCTTGAGAGCACCACATTAAGCAAAATAATCAGACACACAAGCTTAAATGCTACAATAGTTTCTCTTATATGAGAAACCCAAAATATAAATAAAGAGCAAAATAAAAGATAAACAATAGGAAATAGTAAAGTAGATCTTTTTAAAATGAGAAAGGGATCAATAGATGGAAAAAGGGGGATGAGGGGAAATCAAAAGGGATTAAAGAAAGAATCAAGATGTGTTTTGTACCTGTACTAACTTCCCACAAGAAATGTAATCATTACATAATGCAAAAATGTGCTAAAAAATAAAAACTGAAAAAAAAAGATATTACCCATTGATAAGCAAACAAGTGAAGAACCAATACAGGTTCATGCCCATTGGGAGACCTACGAGGTACCCCATGCAGTTCCACTTCACAGATGCCCCAAAGTGTACAGGCTTGTCGGTGATCATGAACCCAGGCCTGGCAGAGATTCAGTGATCAGGTTTTTATACAATGCCACAAAAATCATGAAGGTTACAGTGTTGATGTGAAAGAACCAGTATGCTAGATTATCCATATTCTCCATATACTGGAACAAAGCTATAGTAATGATTAATAAAACAGTATTTAGGCTGTCTACAGTTTTTTATTATATTTTGAATATTCAATGTGTTTGCCCACACTTCTGAATGTGACTTTAACAATCAGATTTGTGTCATTCATTTGTTTTTCCTCACAATAAACCTAAAAATTTCAGCTTGGCTTCATTCTATGAATGGGAAAACAGTATCAGAGAAGATTACTATCTTGCCCCAATTCAAAAAGCTAGTAAGTTTCAGAATTGAGATTTGAACTGAAATTGTGCAGATGCAATTTAAAACAGAAAACTGAAGGAAAGAAAAAGAAAAATGTCAAATATTAGATTGTTAAGCATCTTTTATAGGGAGAAGTGATAACAAAGGAAATGGGAAGAATTAATTGACTTGATGCATTAGTTGACTCAAATTCCCACAAACCCTGGATCACTGAAGAAACTATATAAAAATAGGACTATGGGAATCATCTTTAGGTAGCTATATTTCCAATAAAGCCAGAAGGATCAGATCCACATGTGAGAAATGGAACTTCTGTGTATATCCTTGAATGTGCTGTGTGCTGTGTGTATACCTGTTTACAAAAAGGGAAAGGGTAGCAATCTCTATAAGACCACTGTCAATCATCTGTGGAAATGACAAGAAAAGGACAGAGCCAGTCTTCATTTTTTCTGGAGACATCCATGTGGTGACAGCCCACTCGTGCATATCTGCGAGTGGTCAGGCCACTTGAGCAGAGAGAAATGGCACATGCCTTCCAGCATAGCTTCACATAGTGAGTACTCATAGATACATCGAACTATTAGTACAGAACTCTGAAGTTATAAAGTATTTTTATAAGCAGAATTTGTGAAAGATAATATAGATATTTATCCAAAGGTGGCCTGTTTAGGAATATAGCATGCATAAAGAGTTGTACCTTCAAAAGAATTTCAAATTTAAGCACATAATAAATTTTGATTCTAGGGAATCAAATTTATTAGGGATTCTAGGGAATCAAATTCTAGGGATGTTAAGAGAATAATGCACATTCATCTCAAAGCTGTTTCTTAAAATGATGCATAAAATGTTGCTTCCCAGAAATGCAGGAGCCAATGGGAATTCAAAATAATCAAAATAACTGTGAGATTGCCTATCACTTCTAAATTGCCCTGGGCCTCTCTACCAGCATAATATGATCCTGAAAATGCTTTGGTTTTCACTGTATCACTGAGTAGTGTCATTCCTGCCATTATAATTTGGGAAAAGATAAAGTAAATAATTCAAAGAGAAGTTCAGCATAATGTATATGCCTCTGAGAAAGAACAGGATCAATTCATCCTACAAAAAATATCTAAAGCAGCACCAGAATGTGGTCACCCTCAGACTTACAGGGTTTGGAGTTGAGGACCATCTCAGTGACCATGGACAAGTCACTGAGCCTAGTGGCATATGAGCCCCAGAGGCATATGTAGAAGTTAATGCTAGTAACTGAGAACACTGGTTGCCCAAAACACCGTAACCATGAACAGAATGAGACCTAGTTTTTGCTTAGGGATTCTTTCTACTTAGGTAAAGTTAAGACTATAAAATTTA